AGAGACATCAAGGAAGCGAAAGGGATTACCGATATGGAACAAAGAGCAAGAGAGAAACCGAATAGAAGCGAGTCGACGGTGGGAGGAGGTGCAGAAGGTGATCTGAAAAATGGGGTCGTAAAGCATTCCACTCATATCGTATCCCACCTTCTCCACCCTCCTCTTTCTCGACAATGTGTTCGCTAGCATCTTTTCAACCCTTTCCTCCAGCTTGGGCGTCTTCATACCATCGGAGAATGGGAGAGGGAAGGGGGGGTCGCCGATTTTTAATTTTCGCGAGATTTTCATACCGGTAGAAAGGTGCCCCCTTTGTCGCTCCTAAGAAGGATCGCGCGACGTCGGATTCTTGCGAGACGGAATAATGCGCTCGGCCTAGGCCCCCGGGTTTTCTCGGGGTAGAAAGAGGGAGAGGGAGATAGACAGATAGAAAGAGAGATAGGGTCATAATACTCTGGCTTCCCCGTTGCGGGATGCTTTTGCCGTATATTGTTTGCAAAGCATGTCGTAAGATGCTCGGCGCACGATGAGAAACTGTCATGGCCGTGAACGCGATCGATACGCGGTCTGACGCGCGAATCTTGTCTTATAACGCTATTATAAAGCGTACAGCTTCGTTTCAAGGCTTACCGAGTAACGATACCGTTTATCTCATATAAGACCCAAAGCAATAAATCGTGTTTTGCCTATGTATTTTTTTCGATTAAATTAAAGTTGATTTCTAACTTCCAACTTCCAACTAAACTTATCTCATTCCCCTTTAAAGAAATAAAAACTAATTGATAGTATCGTATATAAATTATAAAGGTTGAGGTACAAACAAATAATGAAAATATTTATAATACTTATAATCTAGTGATTAGTTACAAAGATACTTAAATTTGGGCATTAGAAATTTATATAAACAACGATCTAAAATTTTCTTTAAGAAAGAATCTATTTTAAATTTTGGAATATTATCCTAAATTTGGAACACTTTTTGTACAAATTGTAAAGTCACAAAATGTTGCTCAATACATTTTAATGCGCAGCTTGCTTGCCGGATGCGACGTTTGAGGGATCAGCAAGGTTTTGTTTCTCTCTTCGTCAGTGCGCCTGTGGTTGCGTTCCGAGCACGATCCTAAATTTTTTTTTCATTTTCAGTTCTGTTATTTTAATGCGCATGAAAATATGACTACGCAGAAAGTATGACAGTACGCACAATAAAATGTAAGCGTAATAGAATAAAATATATAGTTACAATAAAATATGACTAGGATGTTCAAAACGCGGAGTAAATGGAGTCCGTATAAAAATATATATTAATATTGTGCATGAAACTTTCAGTTTTTCCATTAAGAATAGAAAATGTTGACTTTATTATCGATTGAAATCGTTAGATTGATTTGTATTTTCTCCTTCTAAGATCAAAAAAGAAAATGATAATATACATTTTATAAGTAATATATATAAAGTTTTACTAATAATTTAATGTTCATTCCGTCAAATTTAGAAATTCATGATTTCTTGCTGTCGGCTTGACTTGATACGATAAGACACTTCGAAACTGCATTTCAAAGTCACTGGAAACGTCGGAAGTCACATCAGAACGTCTTTTCTCCTTGAAGCCGTTTAGGAAACGTCAATTAACGTTAATCACCTGAGCGATTATCGGGAAGAAGATTTCGTTAGAGGCGTGATTTCCTGAAATTCTGCCGGTACTCATCTTACGCATCACGATTGACGAACACCTACCTATTTAAGAGGAAATGAGAATATTTTCAGAGATAAATTTCCATTTTGAGTACAAACGTATTGTTCGGTATAATTATTATTGCAAAATTGACCAGACATGATTGTAATTACCGATCGCTCAATCATAAAATATACTCGAGAGATTGAGTTTATGGAAAATTTATACCGTCCAGAGCAGTAGAAAAATTTGTCTTCTTTTTTTGAACATGATTTTTTTTTTATATTGCATAACCGCATTTATTTTCGCGTTCATCTTTTTATGTAAATACCATGTAATATGCAGCACATTAAGTGTCGTACTGTGTTCGTCCAACGAGGAAAATAGTTATTCTAAGAGCCCGTATCCGTACATCTCGCTAGTCAGGCAAGAGCTAAGGAGGCTGCGCAGCGATCCATTCAGAAAATACGCGACACCGTAGTGCTTGCGGTAGCAGCGCTTATAAACCAGCAACGCCAACCGCATTACCGTCTTGCCATCTCGAGACATGCGCATTTCCCAACGGCGGCGTCTCGTCTTAAAGAAAATGAAGGACGTGATTTATTAACGCTCTCCAAAGTTACCGCTTAGGCGCCATAATGGCATCGTCGCAATTATTCTAAATCAGAGTCGCTCGACGAAACGCTCGGTTTACTCTCCTTCCAGGAGTGTATGCGCCGAACACAGAAATCTGCGTGAGATTTAAGCGAATAAAATCGTCACAACATGCCACAAAAAGAGTCACGTAAATCCACTTATCACTGATTCGTGCAATTTTTAAATATTTCTTTAATCGATACGATCTTTCAAAAATTTATTTTTTATTCAATGTTGAGTGATATTAGGATAGGACCACGGTTTGAAAAAAGAAGTAACTCCGAGACAATATTGAAATTCGATAACGAACGGGTTAAGCGCTCGAGTTGTGTACGCGCCGAGAAAGTTTCGGCGCGTAAGGGCGCGTTGAATGCGCGCCAGTTCGTAAGTTCGCGCCTCGATCGGAGCACGTGTCTCGTTACCGGGGGGGGGGGGAGGAGGGTGGATCGTCGCCGACACGCTCGTATTCGCATTCGCCGATAACTCCGAGAAGCGTGGACGTGACTTAAATCGCGAATCCCCTCGTCGCCGCGATGATTTTGCAGTTCGCGGATAAAGGGACGGTTTTGCCCTTGGATTTCAAGGGGTTCTCGGCGCTTCTCCATCCAGCTTGCGCGCGCGCGCGACTGCGAAAGAGCGTGCGACGGTTCACGGCGCTTGCACCTGTCGACCCTCCCGTTTAATAACTTAAGCCTATTAGCAGCGAGTGCCTTCGGTCTTGTCCCCCGGAGGGGGTGAGACAGAGAGAGAGAGAG